CCCCTTCCTCAGTCTGTGCTGAGCACGGTTTTCTATACCAATTGTGGGTGACGAGCATGGCTGCTCGGGGGCCAGAGGTGCTAGTGGACACAGTGCAAGGTGCCTTTGCTGCAGTACAGAATGGTGGTCAAGGACAGCAGAGTTACTCTTTCTCTGTGGCATGGTGCACCAGCAGCCACCACATCACTGGGACATCTATAAGCACTCACCCTGACGGTGTTGTGGTTGGCTAGGGCTGGCCCAAGGGAAGCAGTCCTGCTCTGCCTAGCCCATCTGTGAGTCAGCTGATCCACAGATCCAACTGGCCTCTCCTCCTCCTTTCTCTCAACCTCCTTTGACCAGAAGACCAGTCAGGGATGCGTGCTTGTGACAGTGTTAGACACACAGGAGGGCTTCAGGGCCATCTGAGGCCACTGCGGCCCAGGCTTGGTAAGGGCACACTGCCCTTTCCCACATGTCACTGCCAGAGCCAGAGATGGCTACGCGAGCCAGGGAATGTGCTCCTTGCAGGAGGACGCTGTGGCACAGGGAAAGATCCAGGGATCTGGAAGAATCAGGTCATCCCCACCCCAGCTAAGTCCAGCACACCTTGCAGCTAGCAGTGTCATGAGAGGATTGAGAAAATAGACAACATGGTCATTGCCACAGCACAGCAGAGATCTGATCACTGGCCAAGGAGAATTTAATATTCTTAATAATGAAATAGCAGCTGGGCTGTGAGCTCTGCCCTGTGCCAGCTGCTTTGAGGGAGATGAACCCCGATTCTATTTTCAGAAGCCATTGTTCTTAGGCAGGTAATAATACTCTCTTCAAAGGTGGTCAGTTGTGGGGTTCAGAGAAAGGGGAGTCAGCAAGGGCTGGGAAAAGCTAGATCAGGAGAGAAGCAACATCACCAGCGACATCCAGGAGCACATGCTGAATGCCAGGTTCTTCCATGTCTTCCTTCCTCTCCTGACTGCTCGAGATGTGCCAAGATTGTGCCCAGTTTAACAGACGAAGAAGCAGAGGCATGAGCTCAGGTAACTTGCCAGTGGTCAGCACTGGCACCAGCACTGGACAGTCAGAGTCTGAGTGTTATTCGCTAGGGTCCACAGCCAGACACCTGAGGGGAAGGGGAGCTCAAAGACAGGCAGATGTGCTGAGAGGCCAGCCACCGGGGGACTGGAGCTGCCAAGGGGACCCCAGCCATGGTACAAACTATAAATGGGAGCAAAGATAGGATGTGCGATTTGGCCAAGGTCCTGCAGCAAGATTGGTGGAGGCTGGGAGAAATCCTGGCAATGACTCCTGTTCTCTTGCCTTCCACTTTTCCTTGGTACCGGCAGGTTCTGGGCGCTCTCCACCGTCTGCGCGGCCACGCCTGCCGCGCTTCCCTCTTGGAAGAGGTGCGATCCACTGGCTTTGGAGCTGGGTGGACTGGCTCCCTTTCTATCCATCTCTTTCTTCCTTTCCCCTGCCATGTTCTGGAAAGGGCAGCGGGAGGGAATGTGGGCAGGTTGCACCAGAGATATACATCTGAGAGCTGAAGGGAACATTTATTTTTAATGTAGACTTAAAAAGAAAAAAGGAAGTTATAAAATATCTGCTCTTGCTCCTGGGATTGTGCAGATGGTGCTGCATTTTGCCTAATAGGGAACGGGACTGGCATAGCATCTGCTGGTCCCCACACAGCTATACGGACCTGGGAGGCAGCATTCCTGCCCCCAGCCCCAGCCCAGCCACAGTGGCTTCCTGGGATCTGTTTAGCAACACAACTTGCCATTCAGTTTCTCCTAGGCTTACGCTCTCCAGACGGCCTTCTGCTAATTTCCCAGACCTTCTCAGTCCTGTCCTCCGTCAGGACCATCACTGCTCCTGTGTCTCCTACACACACACACACACACACACACTTCAAAACTCAACTGTACCTCCTCCTTCAGTAGATAATGTAGACACGCTGACCTGCTCTTTCTGGGCCCCTATTTGGATGTTAGATCAACCGATATTTCACACAACTATGTATTTTGTTAACTCATCTTGCCATATAAAGGACCTTCTCACATCTTTCCTTGTTTGGCCTTCATGTTGGCTGTGGTTTGGGACCATGATCCCTCTTCTGCTATGTACTGGGGCGATGGGACAGAGACTGCGCCATAAACAGCTGAAGCGCTGACTGAGCCCCTCTTCTTTTGTGCTCAGGGTGAACCGGAAAAGAAGTATCCTAAAGTCCAAATGGGGCAGCCTAGCGAGGGATCGGGACACCTGACTCTTCTTCTAGTTTGTTATAAAGATGGGAGGATCACTGAATTTCTCTAAAATTTATTGCCCCTCGGGGGCCGGGGAGATGGCTCAGTGGAATAAGCGCTTCCCTGGCAAGCGCAATGGCCTGAGTTCAATCCCCAGTTCTGCCAACATAAATAAATAAATAAATAAATTAAAATAAAATAAAATAAGATTTAGTGCCCCCATTTGTAAAATTCAGTCCAGGATTTTTATTTATTTATTTATTTTTTTGCGGAACCAGGAATTGAACTCAGGCCCTTGTGCTTGCCAGGGAAGCACTTATTCCACTGAGCCATCTCCCTGGCTCCCCATTTGTAAAATTCAGAAGGTAATCTCTTCTTTCTGACCTTCAGAGTTGTGATGAGATGGTAATATATGGAGAAATGCTGGAGAAATTCTCGGCAAAAATCAATCTCTTTTAGGAACATGAGGTTTGTTATAGCACTTGAGGTGCCACATGAACACCAGGCCTGTGTTAGGACAGGAGGTGGGGCCAGGAGGTGGGTGTGAGTGGTCCAAGAAGGTAAGGAGCTGATGGTCACAGAGCTGTGTGCTGCGCATGCTTGTGCGTGCGTGTGTGTGTGTGTGTGTGTGTGTGTGTGTAAATGTAAGCTGGATACTAGTGAAAACATTTTATAATACTTTTTAAAACTCATTCCATAAATAAAGCAAAATAAAGTGAAAATGAGACACAAAGGCACCTCAGAGGGGAAGATAGGGTTAAGCCAGGAGTGAGCTGTGGGCCCAGAAAATGACCCATGCGGGTCCCTGTACCCTTGGCAGCTGTGGTAGCGGAGAGTTGCCCGTGTCTGATGGTCACTGCAAGGAGAGCTGTAGGTAGATGGTCCAGGGTCTGCTGACCTGTTACTCTGACATATAATTTCTGACTGGAGACCAGAGAAAGTTCTCCCCGAGAAGATTCATGAAGTCCCTGTTGTACAGCGAGCAGTCCTTTGAGATGTGTTGTGTACGTGTACCAATTCTCCACAATGCGTGTGATCATTATGTATTGCAAACATGTACTCATGAAAATACAAAAAAATTTTCACTAAAAAGTACCATGGGGGTGGGGCCCATGAGCATTGGCCTGCTGAATGCTTGTGTGGAAAATGCAGGGAGCTCCCTGGGCAGCATCCCATGATGTCCCTGGTGGCCTGAGCACACTTGAGGGATGAAGCAAGTGTGCTGGGTGGTGAAGCAGCTGTATACCCTGCAGATTTACAGGAGGGCGTGACAGGTGCTGCACTAAGCAATGGGTGGCAGGATTGCCCCAGGCTTTCAGGGGTAATCAGCTATGCGCGTGCGCACACACACACTCATATGGGAGGCAGCTCCTCTCCCCATCACAATGAGGCTCTCTATTGACTTCACACCTTTTGCACAGAACCTGAGAACAGAATTTTAAACAGAGGTGAGACCTCAGAGGTCAAAGCCTTCATTCAGAGGGTAGAAAGCTAGAACCCCACAGGGGGTTGTCTTCCATCAGAGGCCACAAGAATGGAGCTGAAGCTGAGTCCCCAAAGACCCCCTGGCTTTCAGTCCAGCTCCCTGAGCTGCCACTGCAAAGACAAACTGAACATAAATCGTATTCTAAGAGAAAAAAAATTCACGAGACAGCTCCTCATTGGCGCTACAAAATGGCTTTACATTATATAATTTTATTCAAACTGATATGGGCCAATAAATATGTGTGTGTTTGCTGTCTTAAAACATTTTAATGTTTAAAACATGATTTACTAATGCTGCTGAAGATGTCTAGAATTTGATTTACTGCATAGTATTGAATGTTTATACTTCTTCCTTACAGAGATTCTTGCCAAAGAGCCATTTTATCTATAGGAATAATAAATAAGTCAATATGTGGATGGTTGTGCACATTTTTTTCCATATGCAGCGGTACTTAGTAGATGTTATTTTGCACAGTAATGCTTAAAAGGTAATCTTGAGGGACATGCATGGACCCCTGAAGTCCAAGGAATGGCCAGTATCGAGATCACAGCGAGTCTTGACTAAACCAAAAGAGCAGTGAGTGAGGCTAGCTCTCGGGTGCTACTTGGAGGTAATGGATCCACATGAGTGTGTCCACACCTAGCCTTACACATGTATCTGTTCATTCCTCCATTCCTTCATTCATTCCCTCAGCAACTATTTATTTAGACATCTATTTCCATTCAGTAGGTTAAACATGGTGTAAGGTATCACTTCACTAAGATTCCAAGACAGCAAAGTCCCCTAAATTCTACTTATAAGTCACTTAAAGCATTTGGAATAATTATTCTTTCATCCCCACAAAAATCCTCTAGGATGGCTAGGACCCAAAGCTGAGTGAACATGGAGGAGTTCCTTTGTTTATGAGTTTATTTTTATTGGCTCCTCTAAATTATGGAAAGAAGGCCTATCCCCTGCTAATAAGGAAAGAGAAATACTTAAGAAGAATATAAGAAAGTAGCCTGGGACGTACTCCAGAAAAATCCACCGTGAAGAGTCAGGCCATGCTACAGATTCCTTCATGCTTGGATACGTATATGTATGTGTGTTTGTGTATAAGCTATGTATGAGGGTTTTTTGGTACATAAATAGAATTAGGCTGAGGTATACTCCTGCATCTTGATTGTTTTCTTTGTACTATCACACCATGGGCATGGGTTTGCACAGGTATCATAGCTGTGTATCTTTTCTGTACAGAAGTGTGGAATATTTCTTTTGCCATCTTCAGCCTTGTTCCTCTCTTGGTCTAGGTTGTAGGTCTTCTCCTGCCCAACCAGACTCTGGCATCCACTGTCTTCTGGCAGGTAAGGGTTTCCAGGAGCAGAAGGCTCCCCAAGGAGGGATCCAGATAAATGACAGCTGGGAACTTCCTGCCTGCCTCAGAGTCTCCTGCCCTTTCCAGTCCCTGCTCTAGCCCAGACACCACTGGAGAAAATACCAAGACACCGACCTAGCTGAACAGGCGTCTAGCAGCCCAGCAGAGCCGGGACCATTATGGCACTCTAACCTTTGGATGGAGATGATGAGGGATGGGTGCCTTGCCTGGAACATGATGGCTTGTCAGTGGCAGTCCACTCTGCCTCTTGATTGTGTGTCTGGTGGCCAGCAATCTGAGGCCTACAGCCTCATTTTGACATCAGTTCACCCAAATCTGTAGGAGATTAAGCCACCCCTATCCCAAGGTAGTGAAGTGCATCACAGGTGATTGTCCTCTGTCCAGGAGAACAGTGCAGTTGTAGCTCCCTAAAAGCAGCTGAGGATGACTCTTTGTGTCTTTGTAGAGGAAGAGGATGAAAAGAAAAATCTGTCTTTTTGGATAAAATATTGGAAAAGCTTCCCTTTATAAAGCTGCTATGTATCTTATGCCTGGGCATTGATGAGGTGCACACCTGAGAGTTTGGGAAAAAGGGCAGGGCTGTCAACTACTCCACCTCTGTCCAACAAGCACTACATCGAAGGCGGTGTGGCAGAGGTGCTGGGGCAGTAGATCCACTGCAGGGGCTGGGCTGACTCCTGCTGTAGTTTGGCAGGAAATGAGGAGTTTTCTGAGACTCCATACTCCCAGTGCTAATGGTGGTATAGCCCTGGGCAGACTGGGTCCATTGGGTATGCTAGCCAGTGTGGTGGAGCTGGAGCCTGTGCTGTGTGTTTCTGGGGACATATGGCCTTCCAGGGATATAACCACACCTACCCTGATATCTCCTCTCCCTGCTGCCTTTCAGTGGCTGAACCAGAGCCACAACGCCTGTGTCAACTATGCAAACCGCAATGCTACTAAGGTGAGTGTCACTGCCCTCCACTTAGGGATGGGTCCAGACTGGGGTGAACCCACTGCTCCCCACATTGTGACATGTGGCTGTCCCTGGTGTTAGCGCTGCCTTCCTGTAGGACCTTCTTTACGCTGCCAACTCCTCTGGGCAGGACAACTGAACCAGCTTACCTGGCTAAAGCCAACTAGAGCCTCCAGGCAGGGCCCACCTGCTGGGGAGGCATTGTTGGCGTGAGGTGAAGGGAGCCTGTAAAGGAGGGTGTTGGGGGAGTCATGCGAGGGAGAATTCTTCTGGCTTAGAATTCTCACTTGGCAGCTCTTAAACTCAACTTGTGGCTTGAGATGCATGAGCGCCCTGGGCACTGAATCTCTCTGGGGTACACCAAGCTGCCTCAGAGCCCCCACTCCCCAACCGCTGTCCATAAGCTTACGGGCTGCTCTTGAGGCATAGGGGTCAGAGAGACCAGGCTCCTTTCCCCGCAAGTCTTCTGCAGCCTGGAACAAGCCCACGTGGACAGCTGGTCAGTCTTCTGTTGCCCAGAAAGGGCTGCTGGGTCCCTGCTTTGCTGGTAATGCCACCTCGCTCCCTGGTCAATTCTTTACTTCAATTGAAAGTCAAAGGGCAGGAAGAAGGAGTCCAGGTTCCTCTTGGGGGCTGTCAGTTTGTGAGAGGGAGGACCTAAGCATTTTCTGATGCTGGAGAAGATGGGGGGGTGCTAGAAGCTGGCCTAGGCAGCAGGAGCTTAGGGGTCATCCCAATACGCAGGATGCCTCCCCACTTCTGTGCCCACAAACTAAGCTTCACACGCATGCCTCTCTGCTGGGCTGGCGCCTATTTAGCATAAACCAAATGTCTCCAAGATGGCAGTTGCAGCAAAAGACATGTTCTCTCACTTTTTCCTCTTTCCTTAATTTTCCGTGCTAGAACTTGGGATCTATTTTTATATAGAAATACTGTCACCTATTGACAAGGGATCCCAGAAGCTGCCTATACCGAGGACACCTGTGAGAGCCAGCCAGTCACCAGCCTTGCCACTATGTGCCACCTAGACCGCTCCCAGGGCTAGACGCACACTAGCCTGCTTGCACGGGAGCTCACTGCCAGCCATGGGGAACCCGTTCTGGCCTGGCTATCCCTGCCTCCACCCAGCAGTCTGCTTGGGATTGCTAGATTAGGGTAGAAAGAGAGCACGCCCTTTTGCTCCTCCATGGATATTGCTGCCATGTGCCCGCACATTGGGAGCTGCTGGGGTGGTTTGCAAGGGGGGGAGCATGGAGTATTGGGTGCCCTGTGGGCCTGCTGGGCAGTTCTCCATCTATCTTCCAGCCTTCTCCAGCCTCCAAGTTCATCCAGGGTTACCTGGGAGCTGTCATCAGCGCCGTCTCCATCGCCGTGAGTAACTCCTTGACCCACCCCTCAGTCTACAGCTTTTGGCCCCACTCAGCACTGCAGGGCAGATCCTTGTCCCAGGGCCTGGACTAGAGAGGATGAAAGATAGGGTCCGTGGGAGCCATAGGGAGACGCTTGCTCAGCAAGATGCTTGTCACACTTGTGACAGCCAAAGTGCACAGACCCATGCTCCAGGGTTTGGAGGGAGGTGGAACTGTTGTTACCTCTCTTGGGCTCCAACATCAGCATATTTGCTCTCGGTCTTCCTGGAGCTGCTGGTCATGTTCAGGGACACAGTCCACATTGTTGGTCCATAGGCCGGCTCACCTTTGCTCCCAGTCATTCCCCCACCATGGCCGTACTCATGTAGTTATTGTCCAGCCCATCTTGAAGGTCTGCAGGCTCCTGCAGACAAGGACATTAGGCTCACTTTGAGCCTTCCTACAAATCTGAGTGTAGCAAATTTGTATATTGACTGAACAAATGTAGATGATTGATGGGTCCCTGTTCCCAAAGAGGGTAGAGAACCAGTGGTGTAGCTGGGGCTGGGCTCAAAGTTCTAGGACCTGGTCCACCCCTGATATCACCCCTGTGCCTGTGTGAGGCACTCTCTACATCTCTGCTGGGGTGAGCTCGTAGGGCCAACTCTAGAAGACAAAAATCTCCTTTCACACCTTCATTGTTTCATTCATTATACAATGCATTCATATAATTGGTAAGAAAAAGTTAGAAAATGCAAATCAAAGCACAAAGATAATAAGAGAATTCATATATTGGAATCTTTTGGTAAAACCCCCTTGTGCTATTAAATAAATATCATAATGGTACATGACTACATAATAATGTATTGTGTACCATAGCACACTCAATTTTGTTGTTCTTCTAAAGTAAAGATTTTGGGTTGCCCTGAAATGTCCTCACTTATTTCACTCCCACACAGACCAAGTCCCTTCCAAATGGCTGGTAGTGGTGCGTCCTGTCACAGGCCCAAGATCTCTTTCCTTCCCTAAACTCTTACATCTTGCTGCCAGTGGGAAGCCACATGTTGGCAAACTTAGGTAGATGGCTCATGAAGAGACTGCCACCCCACCCCATGGCCCTGCAGCGCAGCATGGGACTTACTTTTCTGGGAATCAGACAAATTGGAAGTTCCTCTGGGGGCTTGCTGAGAGGGAGAAGGGCTCCTGGGGATAAGAGGAGCTGAGCAGTGGCCTTCCCCGTGTCCCAGTCAGAAAACCCCTTTCCTCCTTGGAGTTGTACAGATAGAGGGTGAAGAGGGAGAGGTCACAGCAGGAAGGAAGCTGAGTGATCCTTAAGAGTCTGAAGGAAGGGGATCTCTGTCCTGACAGGGCTTCCTGCCTCCACAGGCCTGGTGCCCTAGAAACAAGAGTTCTGCTTCTGCAGAGAAGAACTGTGTCCCTAGTCCCCATCCTTCCACTGAGGAACCACAGTTGTGCCTTGCAATTACTTTCTAGGGCTGTACCTGGCCCAGATTGGTGGGTGGGGCTTCTAGACTGGGCCCACCAGAGTCACAATGAACTTGAGGTCTCCAGGGCTCCTAGAGCTGAGGTGTCTCCAGCAGGGCTAGGGGACCTTGCTCTGGGCTGTGCCACTGTGGAGTTGCCCTCCTCCCTCCTCCTTCCTCCATGTTTAGCCAGAGCCCTCTGAAGGAGGCTTTTCCTGACCACTCCAGCCCATACTGCTCTTCCCTGGCCTGAATCCAAGAAACTTTTGTGCTTCCCACACTTTCAGTTGTGCCCCAGTCCCTGTCCTGTTATTGTTCCACAGCCTGAGACTTGTCCCCGGCTGGATTACAAGTTAACCAGGGACAGGCCGCAGGTCTCCTCAGAGGGGAGCCCAGAACACTGCTCCATAAATACTATTAATTAGGCTGCTGATTGACCGCTGGCCTCAGGAGACCACCATCCCCTCCCATCCCAGCCTTAGCGGCGGCAGTGGCAGGTCCCTCCACCTGACATCTGCACACAGTTAGGGGCTCACTTGGGCAGATGGAGTGGAGTTTCTGACTTGGAAAATCTGCACTTCACTTGCTTCTCTTTTGTGTATATAAATCACAAAACCTCTAAAGAAACAGGCTTGATTTTATTTTCCTTTCCCTTGTTCTCTGGAACCCCAGGCCCTGCTGCCTCATTAACTGATCTCTGCTTCAATTAGTGACAAATCCCCTCCCAGGGCGAACCTGTTAGGAAAAGATGACCTGCAAACAAGTGTCACGGCCCCAGTGGTTGGCCTGGCTCTGGCATTAATTAAAATGAGTCCCTACAAGCAGGCAGCCTGGATGGGCTGACAGGCTGAGAGCAGGTTCCAGGGACCGAGGTGACAGGGGTGGAGGCCAGGCCTTGGGAAGCCAGTGTCTGTGGACCCTCCTGGAAGAGCTCCTGGCATTGACCAGCAGCCCCTCCCCAGCCCAGCATCCTCGGTGTGCAACCCCCGAGTGAAGCCTCATGCAGGCTCCAGGACCACCAGGGTTAGGAACCTTTCCATGAACCTCCTGAATAGATTTGGCAATGTCTGATTTCTTGCATGAGAATAAAAAAGAAATTCCGTCTTAAGTTATTTTTGAAATCTAACAGTTTGCTGTCTTTTAACAAAGGAAGCCTCTCTCTGTCCTCATTGTGTTTTTGTCTTGGAGTTTGTGCAGAGCATTTTTGTGCTCAGTCCTTGCTGGCTCCGTAGGGTGAGAGAGTGGGTGAGACCCCTGCGTCCTGCAGGGTCTGCTATGTGCGCAGCACCTGCAGGGGCTGGAGCCACAGCAGATGTGACCATCAGGGGCCAGTGGGGGAAACCGAGAGTACTGTGGTGTGGTCAGAATTATTCTGGTGACGTTGACACTGGGGTAGGATAGGACTGAAAGGGTACCTCCCTGTCACAGTCAGTGGGTTGACTTGTAGGACAGAGGCAGGGACAGTAGAGCTAGCTGTCACAGAGAATGGGTGAGAGGGCACAGGGAGCATGCAGAGGCCCACTGCAAGAGAGACAGGTCCCGGGTGCTGTTGAAAGCTGAATGTCTGCCATATGTGGAGCCCTTGGGAGGTGGTGGGGGCAGAGAAGTCGCGAGGGCCAGTAGGAAGTGCAGGTCGCACCGGGAGCCCCCCTTTGTTCCAGGGCTGGGCATGGAGGAGCTGGGCAGAATTGGTTGGAGGAGAACTGTTAGGCAGAAAGGATTTGGTAGGAACTGTATAGACTACTCATGGACACAGGGTCCTGTGTAGGGGTGGACCTGGGCAGGGGAGGCCTCAGGGTCAAAGTCCCGCATGAGCAATCCAGCGCTGCTTGGTGCAGCCAAATGAGAGATGCCTTGTTCCTTATTCTGTCGGCCTCAGCTGGCCAAAGTCTCCCTGCTGGGCAGTGCTGACATCCGTTTCCAAAAGTTCTGGGACTAAGTGGGCTCTTTCTATGGCAGTGGATGTCTATTAGCCTTTGCTACCAGACCCTGGAGGACAGGGAGAAGCCCAAGGGACCCTGGAGTGAGCCCTATACCTTCCCGTTATCCCTGCTAACTGGTGATTCCATGGCAGTTCACCATGTCCCCTTGATGATCAACCTGGCAAATAATCATAGTAATAGTACCAGCGGCTAACACTTCAGGAATACCTACACTGTGCCAGGCATTATTTAGATATTGTCCCCATTTTTCAGATGAGGAAACTTAGGCACAGGACAGTGCCAGTGACAGGAGCTACTGAGGCTTACTCACAAGCTCTTGTTGACACAAAAACCCCTTCTCCCTGTTACCCCTGTGGCATGAGGAGGCAGAAAAAGCCAAGCCGTGTTGCATCTTCTATGCCAGAGAAACTGATACCACGCCCTTGCTAGGCAGCTCCTTCCCAGGTACCCTGAGAGCAGCAGAGACAAGCTCTAGGAGGCTTCTCAGAACCTCTCTCCACCTGCAGACTCAGGCCTCCATTTGTGGTCAAAGTCAAATCAGCAGCAGTGTATCTCTGTCCCTGCTCCAGAGCATGCCCTGCCTCCTGTAAGACAGGCCCAGGCTGACTCTGTGGCGGAATGGACGCCGCCAGGCCCTTCTGTTCTTCTCAGGGCCTGGGGGAGGGGAACTCAGCACCTGTGAATTCTGGACCAGACTTGTCTCACTGCTTTCACTACAAGTGGCTGCTGGGTTGGAGGGGCTGTCACATGGACCCCATGGCAGGAACTGAAGTGTTCCAGAAGCCTGCAGATGGGATGTTGGCAGTGGCGAGTTTGGCAAGAAGGATGGCTCTGCATCTATTCTGGGGAGGACAAATTGCTGTCCCCTCTTCTATGGAAGGGTCTGATATAACTGGTTTCCTTTACACCGGTCTCTGTGGGGCTTGGTCCAGGGTTCAGGGTTCAGGGTTGGCTACTAGCAGACAAAGAACTGAGCCACACCTGGAGCTGACTGGTGCTTTAGCCTGTGCATAACTCTCGGCCACCTTAGCCACTTTGCTCCTGAGTCCATTTGTCAAGCAGCAAGCTGGAGGACCATTGACCTCCAGGAAGAGTCATGGGTCCACTGACAACCAAACTCAGACTACAGCGCACGCCCTCTGGTGGGCATTTTTGGTACTTCAGAGCCCCAGCCTTTGGCCCCCAGGACCCATACAAACCCTGAGGAATGAATATTTGGGCATTGTTAGGGACCACCCAAGAGTGGGTCTAAACTCTGACCTCATGCCATCGCTCCTGTCACGTATTCCCTCCTCACACGCAGTTCTCCTTTGTGGATCTTGTTTCTTCCTGCCTCAGAAGTCACTTGTTTTGTTCTAGGAGCATTTTTAAAGCCCTTACTCATTTTACCCTGCATTCAAATTCAGTGAGGAATGACAGAGACAGGCCCTGTGCCCTAGTACTGAAGATGTATTGGGAGACATGGGTCTTTTTTTTTCCCCCCAATATCTGGGATCAAACTCAAGACCTTGCGCTTACCAGGCAGGCGCTTAGGCCGCTAAGCTGTCCCCCAGCCCTGAGACGTGGGACTTTAATGAAGAGTTCACAGGTAAAAATGATTCTGTGCTAGTAAGTTTTGACCTCAGTATTATTTGGATTCAGAAATTTGTAAGATAAACAAATGTGTACTAAGAAACTATAATAGGCACATGCGAGAAAAACTTCCAGACTCCTCAAGACCGTCAAGGAGAGTCCCAAGCCAAGAGAGGCCTAACATCTAGGCTGAAAGTGAGGGGGTCCCAGAGGGACAGCGCTCAGGCCAGGAAGATAGCTCAGTGGAATAAGTGCTTGCCTGACAAGCCCAAGGTCCTGAGTTCAATCCCTGGTACCACCAAAAAAAAAAAAAAAAAAGAATACTATGCCAACCAGAGGGATCACTCAAAGGCGTGGGGTGAGGGTGGGGCTGGGAATTGGCTTATGTAAGGGATGGGGGGGTAGCCAGGTGCTGGAGCACTGCCTGAATGGTCACACAACACAGGTGGCTTCTAAGGTGTGAGTGCTAAGTAGGAATATCAGCATTCATGTCCAGGATAGGGAGCCACAGAGTAGGTGTGGGTCCAGAGAGGCTCTGGTCCAGGAAAACCTTGGTGTCTAGAAGGGGGTGCTGAGCTTGTATGGCTGAAGCAGAGCTTGACACCCTCCAGTTGGGTGGCATGTTGAGGCCCTAGGAAACAGAGGCTCCCCCATGCAATGGCATGGATGGCTGGAGCGGAGGATGCAGCTGGGGGAGACAGGAATGTAGCTGCTCTTGACCTAGAAGGATGTTGATATTCAAGGTTGCATCTCTGGCTGCGTAGCTCCTGACACTGAAGGTTTTGCTCATGACTCCTACCTTACCTGCCATTCTTGGAGCTAGTCAGCTCATCTTATAGGAATCTGCTCTTGCCAAGCAAGCAACCAGTCTTAAGTGGCCTTCAGACATCAAGTATCATTCCTTGAGAAGGGCAATTGGAGAGTAAATGTACATCAGGAATAAGCACTTCCTTGGCAAGCACAAGGGCCTGAGTTCAATCCCTGGTGCCGAAAAAAAAAAAAAAAAAGAAAGAAAGAAAGAAAGAAAGAAAGAAAAAGAAAAAAGAGTAAAGCTTTGGAACCAGCATGAATAGGCTGAGATGCAGCAAGACACAGGTATGTATCTGAGGACAGGCCAACATGCCCAAGCCCAAGCCCATGCAACATGGGGGGAGACTGGGCCTAGGAGTCCATGGAGAGACAGAGCAGTTGCCCTGCTCACTAGCCAGCAGTGGGCCTAGGGCAGGGATGGTGCTGACCCAGAGGAGGCCCCAACCAAGGTCTTCCTGCCCTAGCACCTTGGACAGCCACAACCTGGGAAGGAGCCCAGGATGGGCTGCAGACCAGCGGCTGGGTGTCCGTCTGTTCTGGTTCTTCAGGGCCTCTTGGCCTGTTACATTTGGTAAAGCCTATTAAAATTAAAAAGCAAAGTGGCTGGGGGCTCAGAATGCCAGCCCGTTTTCCCTGGCATGGTGGGTCCTGTTTAAAGGAACCAGCTGGCATTAATGGCACACAACTCATCATGAACAGCAGCTAGCGATCAGAAAAATCAGAGCTAATAATCAGGTTCGGGAAAGATAATGAGATATGGAACAGTCACTGCTGAGGGTCCCCTAGGGTCTGTTTTAACAGTCTCCAAATAAGCTACAAAATAGAAACTAACCAAACAGGGGCTCCATTTGGGCAGAGGGGGAAAACAAACAAGGTACAGATTTGCACAAGAATTCCTCGCGTGGCCAAGCACAAGCCTGGAGCCCATGGAACATCAGCTACAGCCTGAAAGGAGCCAGGGGCCTTCTCTGAGTGTTTTGCTCTCACTCTGACCACCAGGCCAGTGCAGATGCCAGGAGGAGGAGGAGGAGGAGGAGGAGGAGGAGGAAGAGGAAAAGGAGGGGGAGGGGGAGGAGGAGAGGGATCCAGGGTCAAGACTGTTTGCTACAAGAGGTGGCCTCCATTCCTCCTTGCCCTCCTGCCATACCTCAGCCTTGCCTACCCCTAAGAGGCTACCCTGGGGAAGGTTCCAGAAAGCTCCAAATCTCCAGAATGACTCCTCTGCCCTCCCCCACAGACTTCCTCATGTTTCCAGGGATGTATGTGAGGCTTTGAGCGCAAGCCTTCTGACTTCTGGCTGGTAGGGATGGGGCAGCTTGAAGGCTCTATCTTCTGTTTTCCACTCTTCTGAACCCCTGCCTCACGCGGGCCTTTGCCAGGGGGTCCCTTGCTGTGCGTGCAGTACCCAGCACAGGATCATTCCTTGAAAAGGAAGACAATTGGAAAGTAAGTAGTGAACAGTTGGGATGGAAGCTTTGGAACTAGTGGGCCTGGGTTCAAATCCTAGCTTCAGTGAGGAGGTCTCCCAGGCCTCTGCCTCCTGCAGGCTGTGAGCATTAGCGCCCAGCCACACGTCTCCTGGCTCTCTTCATGGTTTCCCTACCTGCACTTTATGTTTGGAGGCACGAGGGATATTTCTAAGTCTCTGTGAGCTGGAGAGATCTGGACATGGTGAGCTCCATCTGTGTGACAGAGCAGCAAGGGCCAGGGTAGCTGGCAGTGTCCCAGCCCCGCTTCCCTGCTTCCCGTACTAGTGAAGCAAGTCCAAGCTTCTGTGTGTCCCCAGCAGTAAAAGCAAGGATTGAACTCCAAACATCAGGGTGAGTCTTAGAACAGAGGCCAGGCCTCTGAAGCCCAGGCAGAGAATGCCTAATGACTTTCCCAGTGGTTGAGGTCCCACTGCTAGTGAGTAGTACTGGTGTGGAACTCAGAGCTGGGCCGGAAAGAACAGGGGTAGCCTGAGTTGGCTGTCACATTGCAGACATAGGGACCAGCACTGGCGCAAGCCCAGAATCTAGAGACTCAGGTAGCAGCAGATGGGCACAGTGTGGCCACGCAGGGCTGCACCCTCTTGTGTAGGCTGTGGGACAAGACTGCAGAGGGAGGATGACCCCTCTCTGCCCTCCCTCCATCCTGCCCCTTCCTCCCACAAGCTACCACAGCACCATATGCTACTTCTTCTTCTTCTTCTTTTTTTTGTTTTTTCTTTCCAAGGTGGGCCTTAATGTCCTGGTTCAGAAAGCCAACAAGTTCACTCCAGCTACCCGGCTTCTCGTCCAGAGATTTGTGCCATTCCCTGCTGTAGGTAAGACTTGCACATTGTGCAGACATCTCTGTGCCATGCATGGGTGGGGGCCGCAGGCTCTGTCCACACCTGTCTCTGTGCCTTCAGGCTCAGCTGGGGAACTGGAACAAAATGCGTGCAGGAGTAAGAAGGAAGACAGGGGCCCACTGGCCAGCTCTATACCAGTTTAGTACAAGGATTCTTAGCCTGGGGTCCCCAGGCACCCTAAGAATCAGTAGATAGTATACAGTGGATCTTATGAACTTGGAAAAAGTTACACTGACCTCTACCTAAAATTTAACATTTCCTTCTGCCATAAAAGTATCCAGCAAACCACAGTAAGAAGCAGGACCTCTGGCTCTGTCTCCAGTAGAAATGACAGATACTTTGATGTCACATCACAGTTATTACTCAGAGACCTTAAAATATCACTTATGCTCAACACTAATCCAAAATTATCACATTGAATATATTCTAGATCATATTTTTAATTCCGTACTTAAAAGCACATCTCTTAATCACAATTTGAAAGTTTTAGATAACTTGCTTCAATATAATCCTTTTGTAGGCCTGTGAGTTTTGTTTTATACATTTAGAAAAATTATTCTGTGAAGGGTGTGTAGGCCATAGGAAAGCGTCAGAGGGTTCCTCACAAAAGAGGGTTGGAGCTTCTGCTGGGTCCTGGGCTTGCTGCAAAGCCCAACCTGGCTTGTAGGAAGCCTGTACCTTAGGGAGAAATTAAAAAAAAAAAAAAAAAAAAAATCAATGCAATTCTCAGTTAAAAGAAATATATAAGCAAATGCTTAAATCCTAAGCCAGAGTTCCTACTAGCTGGTACCAGAAGACAAAGAGGGCCTGGACCCAGCTCAGGGCTCGAGAACCCCTCTCTTGTGCCAAGGCTGGATGTGAGGAGGCCAGAGTCACACCCAGCTTCGTGACCTTGACCCTAATCATCACCTGAGGGCTCAGCCTCTCCCCAGTCTCTAAAATGCAGACACCAGGCCCACCTCCTACAGATAAGAGCTCTGGGAGGAGCAAGTGAGGCCGTAGACCAGCTTCCATGATTGGCAAGTACTTTGGAAAAGGTAGGAGGTCTTTCCTGGGCAGCCCCACCTCCCTTGTGGCCCAGAGGCTCATAAACTCCTGGAACCAACCACCCAGCTGAGCCTCAGCCGACCCAGATAATTGCTATAGCAACTCCACACTTTTAATGAACTCCCAGCTATTTCTGTCATGGGCCATTAATGGAATAACTCTTTAGATCTGACTTTGTTACAGAACCTAATTGAGCAAACGTGGCTGCTGAGCTGATGTTTGTGGCCATTGGGGCTGGAGGGTCAGAAGCAGCCTGAGAAAGGGCAGCTTTTAGCCGCCCTGGACTGGACCTAGGACTGGCCAGAGATGTAATCTGTCCTCACACTGAGCTCCAGATAACAACTTTGCCAGGGGCCCATTCCAGGCCTGCTCTGCCGCCATCTTGCTGGGTGACCTTGAGGTGGTCTTAACTCTCTGCGATTCCTTCAGGAGGAAGGGCCCTCCTTTTGTTTGAGCCTTTCTGGCCTGCCCCTCTAGGGCTCCATCCAGATTCCTCTCATCTCAGCCATCTCTCACAAGTCCAGCCACTAGTGGGCATCTTGAGATTCCCCCTTCCCACCCCAGTTTGCAGCCCTGGGGGTCTTGGCTCACCAGAATCCTCTAGAAGCACATCATTTCTGCAACCCAGGCTCATCTGCAGCTGGGCACTCACTTACCAGCTCGCCTTGTCTGTGAGGATCTAGTGCTGATGTGCAGCCGTTCCCTCCCCCACCAGGCTCAGGGCCTCCTGGTCCTCTCCAGCCATCCTCCAGCCCCTGCCCTTGGTCTTCATGCACGTTATCCCACATGCCCTGGCCGAGGCTGAGCATCTCTAAGCTGTGCTGCAGCAGTGGAGCCTGTGCCCTGCTTGGCCTTCGCCCCTGTTTCTTTCTTTCTTTCTTTCTTTCTTT